TTTTGGATCCACACACAAAGCTCCCAGTTTACAAGACTTCAGAGGCCGCCTTACAAGCAGAAAGGAATCCAGAGAAGTATCATACACATTTTGCTATGAACTTCAAGAAATTCCGTTTTTCTGCAAGGATTGTGTGGTATTTGATTGACCGTGACAGGAATCATTTAGAGAGTTTTCTTCACAACTCCAACAGTAGATTTGTGCAACATGCATGCTATCAACTTCGTGAGTATGTTCAGGCGCGTGTTGCAGTTTCTGATCCCTTGTATGAGATGATCAAGAAGGAAGAGTTTGAACGCCAATACAATTCCAAGTTTTTGGAGGCGATTTCTTGCTCTCGTGTTGTAGTTGAGCCTGTAAGTTCAGGGACGTATGAGCCATCATCGAAGCTGAACTTAAAGGTACTACAAGACATCCTGAAGGGTATCTTCAAGATCCAGAAGGATGAGGAGCTTGCCAAGGAACGTGATGAAGAAGAAGAACAGGCAGCTCAAAACATCTCATACCTGTTGGCAGATGATATGGAGCTTGATTTTGATGATGATGATGTTCCAGTATGGCGCTCCATTGTCGACAAGTATAGAGGAGGTGATCAGGTGCTACAGGGAGAAGCTGTGAAGATTACTCACCTGTTCAGGGATCAAAAGGACAATGAGAAGGCGACAGAAGCTTTCAGTTCAGAGAGGACAGATTTTTATGAGACCTCAGGACCTCTTCCAAGAACCGAGGGAGAAAATCTTGTAGAGGACTTGCTCACCAAGGATGTTGCAGAACAAGCTTTTGAAGCAGGTGAAGAAGTTCCTCCTTATACAAGAGTCTCCACTATCGCTGGTGAAGTCTATACTGGAAGTATGACACTTCTAGAAGATGAGAATATGGAAGAGGAAGTTCCTGAAGAAGATCCTGCAGTTGAACCTGAAAAGGAACAAGAAATATTTGATGAAGATGCAGGTATTTTTTCTTCAGAGGAACCAAAGATGGAAGTTGACCAGGAGGAAGCCAAGGAAGAGTCAACACCACACTTTCTGTCAAGAGAGATAGGTGAGGACTCGACTGCATCGCACTTACCATCAGGTGAGATGGATGCTAACCTTGATGATACTTCAGGTCAGCGGAAATCGAAGAGAAGCCGCCTGAATAAAATTCCTGATCCTCATTTTCATGAAGAAGTTCAGGATGATGCAACCATGGAAGAGAAGAAAGAGGCGGTGGAGAAAATAAAAGAGGTCAGAGAGGATGATGGAGAGAAGAAATTGGAGGCTGAAATCCAAGAATCTTTTCCATCTGAAGTAGTTGTTGAAAAGGATACAACAAAAGCTGACGATACCTATGAATTGCATACTTCACCCTTGAAGTTGCTTGGAGAGATTACAGGAGATCCAGGTATTGGCTTTTATCAACTATGCTTCAGGGAAACTCATGCAAGATTGCTGAATCATGTTTGTTTCAGAAAGGGTGAGATTTCCCATCCTCATTATCAGTCAAGGATCAACGAGAATGATTTTGTACGATCCATTCGTAATATCTGTCCAGTACCTCCACCTGATTGTTATGAACATGAACCAGAGCATGATTTGAAGAGATTCTTCATCAATGATGACCGCATCATTTATTTGGATGGCAGGTATCAGGTCGATCCAAAGGCCCTTGAAAGGGCAGAACATGCTCGAGAAGAATTGGAGGAGACGAAGAAGGAACTCAAGAATGAACTGGAAGAATATGGTCCCAAGGGACCCAGTTGGGACTTTGTCACCTTCTATGAAGAGCTGTGCAGAAGGTTCCTCAAGGGAAGAATAGAAGAACCATATGGAACTAATTTATTGGCCAGCTCAGAGTCCTTGACATTTTTATCCTGGAACTATGGCAACATGGTTCGTGGTCAGAAGTACACCACACCAAGGTTTCTCCAAGGACTTGATAGTGCAATGAGGCCACGCAAACAGAGCGCCATGTCACTTCAGAATGAGCAATTTGAGAACAACCTTTTCTTCAACATGCTCTTCTTTTTACGTGCACATGTCGTGATTCTCCAGGAAGCTCATCTTCTTGTTCCTGCCAAGGAATTTATTGAGCAAAAGAATTGGACAGTTTGTTTCAATGATTGGGAGAATCTTGCAGTGATGGCTAGATTGGCACCAGGTGGATATGTCAAGATCATTGCTGGACATGATCAAGAACTTGGTCACTGTGAACAGCGTGATGTAACTTGGACTATCTACGAGATTTGTTTTGGAGAAACAAGGCCTCGTCAAGATTTCAAGGATGCAGACTTTGAATTTGATGACTATGGTCCTGAGGACAAGCGTGTTCCACTTACTCGAGCGAACATGCATACCATCAGAGTCTGTAATTATCATGTTGATACACACCGTGCTGTGGATGCCCACCTACTGACAGGAGAACAAACAGCATTGATGCTTTACGAGTGTTTTGTCTATGAGGTGGACATCATTTCTGGTGATGCAAATAGTTTGGCCTACAGAATGTCTGGGTACAAAAGGCAGCCAATGGCTAACTACTATTATAGCACCATGCAGCATTGGATCCGCAAGTTTTCAGAAGCTCGTGTAAAAGCAGATCTTGGTATCAAAGCACCTATTCCCAGAACATTTTACAGTTCAACTTCACAGGTCCTCAAGAAGTGTGAAGTTTACTTTGATAAACTCTGGGAAGAATATTCTACGGTTGAAAGAGAAGAATACCAAGGATCACAGCTTGGCGATACATGTTTGTCTACCATTGTTGAATGGGGTCATTCAATGAGTGAAGAGGAATATGAAAATTCCACAGTGAGCACGAAGGAGTTCATCTGTAATTTTTCAGAGAACTTTGCTATGATTGATACAGAGGTTATGTGCTCAAGGCCCACTGACGAGGACAGTCATGGTCCAATGTTTATTTCACTCAGACCAGCTTCCTTTTCATCTGGAGACAGAAGACAGTATCGCATGGGAGCAACTCTTCATGAGGCTAACTTGCGGAGGAAGGAGAGACAGAAACAGAATAGAAAGAAAGGAAGGCCGCCAACTTCTGGTCAAGCAGCTTCATCGTCTGCAGCGGCATAATTCCTGAGCGAAGGCTGAAATTTAAATGATGGCTAGGAAGTGAAGATACTTCTGGTTACAGTTGATACTTTGCTTCCAGGCTTGACTTTAAGTTGCCAGGCTGAAGTTTTAATAAATTCTGGTTTGCAAAGAGGAGAAACTTTTTATCAAAGAAGATACTCCTGCATTCCAGGTTTATACGCTTTAGCAGGTAGATATGGACAGTTTTTCAGAACTGATGATAACTACCACAGCCGCTCTTTATGAAGTGACCTCTAATGGACAACCAGTCATGGTTGATGATTAAGTCATTTCAAGATTTGCAATTGTAGTGCAAGATTTTTTGTACATACATTTGCCGGTATCTCCTTCTTGTGTTTTTGATGTGAATGTGAAAGAGAGTCCTTTTGATGCATTTTATTTGTCTGTGAATGAAAGCGGTCGAGACCACGTCACGAGAAGATTATTCCTCGGACCGTACGCTCCTTGCATTTTGCAAGGCATCTTAATTCATTGCATTGTGCGGTCTTGAATTTTTAGTTCTTTGTTACGCGAGTGTCGTTTGATTCTTTTATAGGTCTCTGTAGAGAAAAAGCCGCTTTCCCTTTTTAGTTTGATTTAGCTCAGGCCATAAAGAGCTAGTGAGCGCCGGTACATGGTATCTCCGCCTGCGAAAAGTACAGTCTCCAGCCGAGGTACATTATCGATTTGATCTTGTACTTGAGGTGAGTCAGCTATTGCTCCCTCACTGTATTTAGTAGCTATGAGATTATCTTCTCCAAAGTGTGAAACACACTGGATTAGATAAGTACATGGCACCGTAGTTTTCTTTTAAGTTGTCAGAGCTAGCTGAACTGTTTTAGCCTTGCAGTAGAAAAAGAGTATGCGACATACGCAATCAGCTAGAAGTGGACATGAATCTTGTGCCTGCTGAAAAGTAGAGCCTACCTGTACAGGGTTCCACTCCAACAGCTGATATAGTGTGTCCATGCTTGACTGCTTCAAGGCTCAAGAGAGGGTCAATGGACCTAAAGAGCAAGAGGACAAGACTCTGCGCATAAAAGACACTAGCGGTCTGCACCTCTACCGTGTACGCCCTAGTCACTCTTTCACCCCCTCCCCCCCTCTAAAATCAATTCTCTCCTGGAGAACGTCTTCGTGAGCCTCTCATGATTTCAGGATAGTTGAAGCCCTCTTGAACATTTTAGAAAGAGTGAATATGAAATTCTAATCACGAAAGGTGTTCCCCGAGGGGATACATACCTAGAGTTTGTTTTGTGAAGCACGTCAATTCTCTCCTGGGGAGCGTCTTCGTGAGCCTCTTATGGTTTCAGGACAAATCCTATGATGTTCCGATTCAATGCTCACCGATGATCTGAGCCATGGGGCAAGTTTGTTTTCCTAAGAACCTTTTTGAACATTTCGAGAGCATATGTTTGAACATTTAGAGTGCATATGAACATATATTTACGAAAGGTCGCCTCCGAGGGGATAAATCACCATGTCGAACATTGCATTTTTGTTCCTGCCTCTCGCGTTCTCTTCTCTTCCCGCTGTCCTACCTTTCGTGTCTCCCTCCTCTCAAGTCTCTCAGTACGAAATTCACCCTCATCTCGTACCATTGCTCCAGACGATCTGGAATCTGGAGTCTATCTATTCACTATTCACCTTCCGCCGATCTGCCTTCTTCTCCCACCCTTCCGCAACCGCATACCCGCACGACGCGCGCGCGCGCGCGCTGGGCGAGTCGACGCAGTGATGTTCTGGTACGTTTCTGGTGTGGTGCACCCAGTGTTGCAGGAGGTTGCCCAATCAAAGCGTCGAGCACGTGGGTCGCCGTAAAAACCATTTGAACAAACTAAATCATAAAAAAGGGATTCCTAAATGGTCATCCATGGATCTCACAATTCGTCTATTTAGAAAGGACAGATGTTTTGATTTTTTCTCTCCGCCCAGGAGGCCTACAATTACAACACCATGCGGGACGAGGATCCCAGGAATCTGGTCTTGCTGTGCACCTCCCAGGGGAGACTTGGACAACTGATGAGCATTCTTTTGGTTTTGGTGTCCTTTTGTTTGCCTTGAGTCCAAAAGAAGCAGAAAACGAGGAGACCGAGACTGAGCCGAAACAGAAAAGACATCAACATGTAGCTTTGTTGAAGAGGAGTTCAACTCACCAATTCATGCGTTCTCGAAGAGCAACAGCTGCGGGGTAACGAGTCTGGCGCGCTTCGCAGCCCGAGCGACGTATACACCAGGGATCAGCAATACCTAGTCCCAAAACTTGGTTCCGAAAACATGGCAAGACCATGGCAAAACCACCTGTTCAACGCGTCATGCCGCACAATGAATGCCATCAACATGCTGCACCTTCTCAATTGTCATCATCGGTGAAACCTTGAAACGACGAGAGATCCAGGCGATTCGTCTGAGCACAGGGTGGCGCAGGTCTGAAAAAGATGAATTCACGTGCTTTTTTTTCAATCCGACACTTGTTATACTTGGGATTTGATACTGCCAAAACCAGGTGAACGCTTCTGCTAAATAGTTTTGACCACAACTCATGAGCAAGATCCTGCATGGTTTTTGCCTGTCTAACCTTCCCTGTAGCAGTATACCTTCCCTCCAAGAAAAGGGTTATCTATATGGGAGCATCGTTGCGTGACCTTATTTGATATGAATGGGACGATCCAAAAGCAATGTATGGGACTTGGACTAGTCATATGTTAAACATCTTCCGTCTTCCATGTGCTTGAGGATGCTGAAAAACACTGCTTTAAACGCCATGTTTTCCGCCCTGCCGGAGGCCAAACCAAAAGCTCCTTGGCCATCTCATGGCCTCTTCCCATTGTTTTTTTTGTTCACAGCGTGTTTTTTCTGAAAAACCTCTCCAACCCACTCGACCTGCGCCCACCTTGGCCTCCAGGATCGCCGTGCAACAGGATGGCCGTGGAGCGAAGAAGCTCTTCCACCATGCAGCCGACCCCTCGGGGCGGATTCATCGCTATTGGCTGGAGGCAGAAGAGACGCATCACAAGGCCGGTCGCCACGGAGACGCAGCGAGGGAGGCGTTGGCAACGTTGGTGGTTGGTGAAAAGGGAGCGGGCTGGGTGTTAGGGTGGAATTGAGGATGGCAGTGTTCTGTTTCCATCCAATCCACTATGGAATATTTACATTCTATAAACATTTACCATTCTTTTTTACAACATTGACCCTTAATCTGCGCATCCTTAAAACCAACTGTAGCCATAATCCATACATGCCCTCCAAGTCAATGACCACGTTAAACTTGTTCGTTTGGACTCAGAGATCATGAATTTACTTTCAATAGAAGCTACAGGAGTTTTACTTGGTCCCCTTGTCAGCGTTCATGATCTCTTCAGAGCTGGTATCGGGCGAATCAGCATGCCAGTTTGGTTCCCCTCGATTCTTTTTAAATCAGTCAGCCGTTGAACACGGCACGTTCAAACCAACATTTCTGCTGGAACACCCGGATGAAAGCATCTCTAGAGCCCGATTTGTTGGAAACACATTGGCCAACTGTGACTGTGAGCGTAGCTACGCGCAACAGGTGCGGAACACCCCCCTCAGCTAATCTTCTAAAGCTGCACATGACCTAAAACTTCAGATGACCTTCTAAATCCGCAACAACCGCGTAACTGAAGTGCAACTGGAGGGCAACACTATGGGCATCAAAAAAGATATAAGCAACACTCGACCAGCATATTTCATGTTGATCAAATTGAAGGACAAACTGACAGGATATTGGAATTTTGATGAATTTGGATCTTAATTTGGTACTTTAAAGGAGATGCGCATATAGGCATGTTGAAGGATCAATGCGGTGGTGGCGTGGCGAAATTGAGCTGGCTTGGACAAAAGGGCTCGAGTTCCGGCAAAGGAAAGGTACCCCGGTACTCAACTTGATCGTTTACAAAAGTACACAAGTTAAACATGCATTTCAGACTTTGTGCAGGATGCTCCAAAGCCTCAAACAACTTGAAGTTTCATCCATCCATCCCTCCCCTCCCTCCCTCCCTCCCTCCCTCCATCCCTCCATCCCTCCATCCCTCCATCCCTCCATCCCTCC